AGGCCTGGCAGCCCCCTGCCCCCCACAGCAGGGGTGACCCCCAGCCTCACGGGCCGGGCCCTGTAAGGGGGTCTCCCCCAACTGCAGCTGCAATTCCTCAGCTCCTGCCTCTCCTGCTTTCTGCCTGCCTGCTTGAGCTGCCTTCTGCCAGCAAGGGATTTTCTCCTGTCCTGCTCCTGTAGGTGTTGGGGTTTATTTTTCTACTTTCTTAGAGGCGCTGGTGCTGCTGCAGCCGCAGCTGGAGATGGGACTGGGCTGTGCCAATGCTCAGCCTGGGGTCTCTGGAGCACATCAACCCCCCCTGGCAGCGGCAGGACACTGGCATCCTCATCCTCATCCCCCTGGATGTCCAGGGCTGGGGGCTCTGGGGGTCTTTGTTCTGTGCTGTCCTGCTAGGAATGCAGTTTAATAAAGATCAATGTCATGTGTTACACCTGGGGAGGAACAGTCATCAACACACCTGCAGCCTGGGAGGCACTGCTCTAAGCAGCCCGACTGCAGGAAGGGATCTTGGAGTCGTAGTTGACTCCAAAATGAACATGAGTCACAAGTGCAATGTGGTAATAAGTAAAGCCAACCGCACCCTTTCTTGCACAAGTAGGTCCAGGGAGGTGATGCTTCCCCTTTCTGCAGCACTGGTCAGGCCACAGCTGGAGTACTGCGTCCAGTTTTGGGCACCGCACTTTGGGAGGGATGTGGATGGCTTGGAGAGGGTCCAGAGGAGGGCCACCTGTCCGGTTAAAGGCCTACAGAAAAAACCCGATGTGGACTGATTGGGAGACCTGAACCTCTTCAGCCTCCGCAAGGGCGCCTGTCGGGGTCACTAGAAATAATGGCCACAAAGTGGAAGTGAGCAAATTCAGACTGGACATCGGGATAAAATTCTTTACAGTGACGGTTGCCAAAATGTGGAATAAGCTTCCAAGGGAGGTGGTGCTGTCCGCTTCCTTGGAGGCATTTAAAAGGAGATTGGACAGACAAATGGCTGAGTCATCTGACCCCAGCACTCATTCCTGCCCAGGGCAGGGGGTCGGACTCGCTGATCTAATAGGTCCCTTCCGATCCTAACATCTATGAAACTATGAGTAGGTCAGACCAGGGCTTGCTTGGGATGGTGTGGACCAGGGGCGGGCAATTATTTTGGGCAGAGGGCTGCTTACTGAGTTTTGGCAAGCCATTGAGGGCCGCATGACAGGCAGCCCAGGACAGATAAATATTAATTTTCTAAATTTTTTAGGGGCCCCGCAGGCCAGATAGAATGGCCTGGCGGGCCGCATCCAGCCCCCGGCCGCATTTTGCCCACTCCTGGTGTGGACAGGCAGGGCGGATCCTGCCTCAAGTTGGGGCTGGACTGGATGTGACTTCCCCAGGGTCCTGCACGCCCACCCCTGCCTGCCGGGACCTTGATCCCAAGCTGCCGCCCGGGCTCGCGTCACCCCGGCTCTGCAGCACCTGCTCCTGCTGCCAACAGATGCAGAGCAGCCCCAGGGCTGTACTATGCACCGCTGGGTCCTGTGCCCCTCGGGGAAGAGCCGGCGGGGTGGGGGCAGCAGAGCAGGGCAGCTGCTCCCAAGCCCCGTGCACTCCCCACACTGGGGTGGGGGTGATGGGGACAGGGGCAGGGGCTGGGAAGTGGCGAAGGGGTCAGAGACCTAGGGGTGCCCCAGCCAGCGGCAGCCAGGCCCAGGGGACAAACACCACTGTTGCTCCCCATCCCCTCCCATCTGCCCGTTGCCCCATGCTGGTTAATGAGTCACTGATCAAGGCCGTCTCCCCTGCAGACGGATCTGGTCATGCCCATTCCTGGCTCTGCCTGCCAGTGGTTTGCAAGCTGGTGCCAGTGCCGGGGAGAGCCTATGGGCCAACCCCGACGTGGCCACACCATGTGGCAGGGATCTGGCCTCCAGCCTCGCAGCACTGAGCCTCCCGGACTCCTGTGCCATGCTTGGGCTCCTGCATGAACTCTGGACAGGCCTCTTCCCTGATTCCTCCCCTCTCCATGGTGCCAGCCTGCATCCAGCCCTCCGCCCAGAAGCAGGATCCCCAGACCATGCCCCTCTGCTGGGCTGCTCGGCGCTCATGCTTCCCCTGGGAATGGCAAGCGTCCAAGGGAAAGAACACAGCCTTCTGGCCCTGGAAAACACTTGGCAGCTTTTCTGCAATCCTTCCACCACTGGAAAGAGAACGGCTCTGGGGATGAGCATATCCCTTGGAGCCAAGGGTGGAGGATGCAGCAGGGCTGGGGGTGGCAGGTGCTGCCCCTGGACACGGAGCTTGTGAGTCCCAGTCCAGATGGTCCTCCCTGTGGCAGGGCTGCCCAAGCCGGGCACTGACCCGACGCCCTTGGCCCAGCTGGCTCGTTGTGCTCTGCCTTCTCTCCGGGTCAGCCCCGCACCCTGCTTCTTCAAGTTCGGGGCTGCACAAGTCTTTCTGGAAACCCCGTCTTCTGCAGCGCCTGCAAGAGTGCACCGGGCTGAGCCCCCTGCTCTGCTATGGGCTGCTGTCCTGGCCCCGGGGACCCCGGGTGGGGGCGGCACAGGGGCAGGCAGGGGCAGGGGGCTGGCCAGGTGGGCACGGGGGTGATGCAGCCCCGTGTTTGCAGGCATCGGGAAGTGTGTGGCCCTGGACCTGGCACGCAGAAACGCCCGGACCATCCTGGCCTGCCGCAGCCAGGAGCGAGGGCAGGCGGCCGTGGTGGAGATCCAGAGGGCCACGGGCAACCCGCACGTGCTACTGCGGCTGGTGGACACCAGCTCCATGGCCTCTGTGCGGCACTTCGCCCACCAGGTCTTGCAGGAGGAGGAGCGGCTGGACATCCTGGTCAACAACGCGGGCTTGACCGGTAGGGGCAAGGAGCTGCTTGGCCTGGGAGAGGCAGCTGGGACCCTGGCACCTGCCAGCCAGAGCAGGGCTTGAGCCGCCAGGGCAAATGGGCACCTGAGTCCAGGTCCAGGGGCTGCTTGGGATGTCCCCGTGCTGGGCCAGGTCCCATCCCAGGCCCCCAGGCTGCGGGGAACCAGCTTCCCAGCCCCTGGGCACCTGCTCCCAGCACCATGATGGCCCAGAGGGTCCCTTCCCTGTGCCCCCCGTCCCGCTGTTACCAGCCTAGTCCCATCTGTGCTCTTCTCCTCCAGGCTTGCCCTTCTCCATCACAGCCGAGGGGCTGGAGGTGACCTTTGCTACCAACCACCTGGGCCCCTTCCTGCTCACCAACCTGCTGCTGGGTAAGACTCGGCTGGGGCTGCCCCGCTCCGTGCTAGGCTGCTGCATGTACCATGGCCCCCGGGCCTTGTTTGCAGGGCTCCCCCAGCCGAGACTCCTGCCCCTGGCCCCCGCTGCCAACACCTGGCTGTGACGTGAGCTCCCTATGCCCCTGCTGCGCAGATCTGCTGAGGCGGTCGGCTCCTGCCCGCATCGTGAACGTCTCCTCGTTCAAACACAAGACAGGCAAGATTGACCTGCAGGAGCTGACGGGCAGGAAGAAGCCCCCGAACGTCTACCGCGTCTACAACAGCACCAAGCTTATGAACATCCTCTTCACCAACGAGCTGGCCAGGCGGCTGCAAGGCACAGGTCCGTGGGGTCCCAGAGCCCCCTGCCCCTTCTCCCCCTATGTCCTGCAGGCACAGGGTATGATGCCTGCTGCCCCCACCCCCGTGAGGTAGGGGCTGTTCTGGGGGGATGAGGTCCCCAGAGCAGGGGTTCGTTCTGCTCTGCCCGGGGTATCCCCATGCCCCCTTTGGCTGGATGGGGGTGGACTGAGCCCGGAGAAGGAGCTGGGCAAGCAGGTGCGTGGGGCCAACTCAGACTTGTCATTGGCAACTGGAGCACGGTGCTGGCTCCTAATCAGCTGGGGGTGCACAGTGCCCCCCGTCCTGGGCAGAGACATCGGCTGCTCAATGCTTCCCTGCGCCTAGGACTAGGGAACTACCCTGCACGGGCCCTAGCCCGGCCCCTGAGCCAGGAGTCAGAGCCAGGCACATCAGGGCAGCGCCCGCCCAATGCCTGGGCCCCCCAGGCCGGGGCGGTGGCTGCAGCCTGTCCCTACCATGGGAACAGACCAACTTTGGTGCCATGCTGTGCTCTGCCTCTGCAGGGGTGACCGTCAATGCCTTGAACCCTGGTGTGGTGCGGACAGAGATCATGCGCCACTTCAGCTGGCCAGCCCGTGCCCTCTTCACCCTGGCTGGACTCCTCATAAAGGTGAGGGTGGGGGTTGGGGGCGTCTGCTGGACTGTCCGGGGGGCAGTGGCTGAGTGCATGTGCAGAGAGGGCGCTGGGCTGCACCCGTGCCTGGGGATGGGTGAGGTTTTGGGTCCCTGAGCCGCCCCCACTGTGGGTAGGATGGCAGGGGCTGCCCAGGCTGCGCTGACCCCAGTGTCCCTCCCAGACCCCGAAGGAGGGCGCCACCAGCACCATCTACTGTGCCGTCTCAGAGGAGGTCTCGGGCGTGACGGGCAAGTACTTCGACAGTGACTGTGCCTTAGTGCTGCCTGTGGCACCTGCCCGCGACCCAGTCCTTGCCCGCAAGCTGTGGGAGGTATCCGAGCAGCTGACTGGCCTTGGCGAGGGCCTGAGTAAAGCCCCCACAGCTCTGGGCCGCAGGAGGCAGACCGGGGATGAGCTGGGGCTGGGGGAGGCCGGGGTCCCTGAAGAAGGGAGGTGAGCCCCTACGCCAGCCCCCCCGGCTCCCTCAGCTGTCCGCCTCCAAACTCCCGCAGCTCAGAGCAACCCCAAGCCCCTGGCAGGGCAGGCGGTGCCCACACCCCCTCGCTGCTCCCTGTAATGCTTGCAACATGGCAACGGGCTTCTGCACGCTGCCCTGACCCTCTGCACACTGCAGCCTCGTGCCTACACACCCAGCAACTCCTCCAACCCGGGCCCTGGCTCCTTGCTGTCCTTTGGGATGCAGCATCCCCGGCCCCCATCCCAGCCCCAGCCCCTGCGAGCCTGGGAGCAGACAGTGGCTAGGTCTCCTTTCCGGTCCTGGGTGTCTCTGCCCCCACCCCCCAGTCATCGCTCAGCTGAACACAGATGCTTGGCAGAGATGCTGTCAGGGCCGTTGTACAGAAGGGACCCCATTCTCTCTGCTTTATTAAACGTGGCTGCCTCACTGGCCCCCATGTCCAGGATGTGATCTGGGGCAGCAGGTGGAGGGGAGCAGTTGCGGTGCTGTGTCTGGAGTCCCCCATCACTGCCAGGTGATGTCCAGCTGCAGCTGCTGCTCCTGTACCGTGCGGACGAACTGGTCGTAGTCCCGGCGGTGGATGTCCCGGCAGCCGACCAGGTTCAGGGTGCGGAGGGGCCCATCCGAGGCCAGCAGCAGGCGCACGGTGCTGCTGGACACCTGGCTCTCGGCCAGCGAGAGCTCCCGCAGGTGGCACAGGACTGGGCCGGGCGCCTGCAGCACTGCCTGGAACAGGCCGTCCAGGGAAAAGGGCAGGCAGAGGAGCTGCAGGGTCTCCAGGCATGGGGCGCAGCTCAGCACGGCAGCGAGGATGGCCCGCAGGACTGCCACGTGCTGGCCGGGCAGGGGCCCCTGGGTGCAGGACAGAGCCAGGCTGAAGTGCTGCAGCTGGGGGAAGCTGTGGTGGACGAGGTTGGGGGCCCAGCCATGCAGCTCGGCATCTCCATCTGGCGTCCAGGGAGGCTCAGCGGGGGTGCACAGGTGGGTGCTGAAGGTGTGGAGGCCGGGGCAGCTGTCCAGTAGGGCACTCAGGGACAGCTCGTCGTCGTAGGTGAAGCCGTGCAGGGCCAGGGAGCGCAGCCTCGGCCCCAGGCTCTGCACCAGGGGCACCGTCTCAGCCAGCCCCCGCCCTCGGGGCCCCGTGCAGTGCAGCACCAGGCAGGAAAGGCGCCCCCATGCCAGGCTGTCCCAGCACGCGCTGGGGCCGTCGTTCAGAGCCACGGTCACCTCCTCTGCCTCCGGGCACACGGCGCAGAGGGTCGTGAGGAAGGGCTCCTCCACCTCGTCCACCCGCTTGAGGGGCAGCGTGAGCCATGCGTCCCTGCTGCCTGTCTGGCCGCCCTGCCGGTGCTGCGCCAGCTCCTTCAGCGAGGGGAACCCTGGTGGCGCCGTGGCCCCGGGATCCTGGAAGCACTGGGTGTGGATGAGGCACAAGGCCTCCATGACGCAGCTGCTGGCCAGCACCTCCAGGCTGGGCAGCGCCAGCAGCAGGAAGGCCAAGGCCCCCACCAAGTCTGCGGCTCGCCCCTGCGGTTCAATGCCACTGGCAAGCAGCACCCGCAAAGCCGGGCAGCACGGGACGCGTGCTGTTGGGTCATAGGCCAGGTGCAGCAGGGCTTCTGATGTCACCCTGCGGCAGCCCGAGATGTCCAGCTGCCGCCGGCCTGCGTCTCTGCCCGGTCCAGCCCCGTCAGCAGTGGCAGCCCCTCCAGCAGGTCCATAAGCGCGGCTGCTGAGACCCGGCTGCAGCCGTGCAGGTCCAAAGAGCACAGGGTCTGCACCAGCGACCAGAGGGACAGCGTCAGGTTTGTCGGGCACAGCCAGCTCCCTGTCCAGCCCCACTCCTCCCCCAGCTCAGGGCCGGCCTGATCCCTTTGGACCAGACCTGGGGATGGAGGGCGGGACTGGATTCATAGATGTTAGGGTCGGAAGGGACCTCAATAGATCATCGAGTCCGACCCCCTGCATGGGCAGGAAAGAGGGCTGGGTCTAGATGACCCCAGCTAGATGCCTATCCAACCTCTTCTCGAAGACCCCCAGGGTAGGGGAGAGCACCACCTCCCTTGGGAGCCCGTTCCAGACCTTGGCCACTCGAACTGTGAAGAAGTTCTTCCTAATGTT